CAGATACTGTCTCTCTGCTTTGTGTCAGTGTTTTCAGTTTTTCAGTGTCACAAAGCACATATTCATAATGTGTTACATGTGATTGAGTACAACTATGTAGTACATCATCTATGAGACTTAAATATTGTAATCAGTCTGTGCCATGTAGTTATACATGCTCTTCTAATTTTAAGTATGCATTATAATAATTAGCCGTTTACTAAAATGTTGGTATCTATTTCCTTCTCAAAGACAAAACACAAAATAAAATAAAAAATAGTTTACTTCAAACAATGTGAATTTTAGAGCACTTACCAGATATTCTCACACTTATATCTAGAAATCAAAAGTATACAGTGGAATCTTATATTGATCTGGGCTGACTTCCTCCAAGTATACAGTCTTTCCCAACCAAGAGAATCATCCCTTGAATTAAATAGGACAAAGAGTCTAACAACAAAAGCATATGTAAGGATTTTGACTGGAATATGTCAGGAAATTGTTCCCAAATAAAAATCAGTTTTTTTCTTATATTAATGGCAACAATGATGGCCGGAGCATTCTAAAGATAAAAACAGAGATCATGTAGATGGGTTCAGAAACCACATGTTCTTCTGTAAAGAAAAAAATCTCCTAGTTTTCTGAGCATAAGATTCTTATCTTAAAGGAATGCTTAATGATTGATTTGTCAAATCTCCATTGTGCTCCTATGTGTAGTGTTCTGCATTCTTTGGTAGATTATATAGCTCCAAGGAAGATTCTTCGGAGAGTCTTAAGAAAGCCTGGCTCGAAATCTAAGCTCAGTAATTGACTATATTATTATCATACAGTATTATTACTTATTAGTCTCTAGAAGGCTAAATATCTAGCTTGTTGTTGTCTGAAACTGAGCATGATGATGATATCTAGGAAGCAAGTATTTGCAGAACATGTATTGATGCATGTTTTACAAAAGTCTCAGATGCCAGAAAATACTCTAATCCTGTTAACTTCTAGCAAGCCTAAAACTGATTCTCGGAATATGCATTTGTTAAAGCCAAGAATACTCCTCTTTTGAAGTTAGACTGAGTTCTAAATTGCTCTTTTCATACAGTTTCTGAAAAAAAATAATGTCTTTCAATTCTCAAAGAAAATGCTATCAAGCAAAGTATTTCTTTACTCATTCATCAGATACAGATTGAGCAACTTCTGCAAACAAGGCACAAACTTAGTGAACATGATAAAGTTTGTAGGCATTAAAAGATCAGATAAGCAATATAAATTATGATAGAAAGTGTTAATAAAGACAAAAATATTTTGATAGAACTGTGCTGATGAGGAAGTGATCAAGTAAGTTGGACTGGCAAAGGAAAAGTGTTTTGGACATTCATTACAGCAGGTCATTATGACAGCAGCATGATGCCTGTAATGAGGCTGGACATGTACAGTACATTCCTAACGTTTCTGGAAACTGTAACAAGTGTCTGTGTAGCATTTCATGCAAGGAACCAATACTATCCTATTTTCTGTAATGGGTTGGGGGACAACCAAGCAACTAGTGTCTTGCTAGGAGGACTTGGAGTTTCATAGTGGTATCAGGTAGGAGTCTCTGTGTTAGAAATTGATGCCAAAGCTTAAATTTATAGTGGTATCAGGTAGGAGTCTCTGTGTTAGAAATTGATGTCAAAGCTTAAATTTATAGTGGTATCAGGTAGGAGTCTCTGTGTTAGAAAATGATGCCAAAGCTTAAATTTATAGGACTGTGTGACACTTTAGGGTGTTCAGGGCAAAGGAAATGGACGTATCAAAGGTGACCCCTGCTATTTTGCCTAGATAGACTCGGAATCATTTACCAAAATAAGAACAGAAAAGGTGTGGATTTGGGGATCTATGGGACATCACTGACTAAGAAATCCAATAGAGATAACCCTGGTACAGGGCTTTTAGTTTGTTAGCCTATGGTATCTAATATCTACTAAAGGCATTATTTCTCGTTATAAGGTAAGTCCATTGTGTGTGTGTGTGTATGTGTGTGTGTGTGTGTGTGTGTGTGTACAGATGAAAGCATCTATTCACATGTGTATATATGACGCAAATTTAGGAGAGGACAAATTTAAGAGGGGAAGGAGGATGAACCTGGGACTACTTAGAGGAGTGTGGAATGAATACATCCAAAATACATTTTATGTATGTGAGAAATTCTCAAAGAACTAAAAATATATTTCTTAAAATTAAAAATATTCTTTAAAAGTATGTAGCATTTTTATTATTTATTCATTCATTCATTTTTTGCTGTTCTTTTTGTTTTTCTGTATTATTTTGTTGTTATATCCAAAGGGGAGACGACTATATAAAATCACTTGGGGGGAATCTATAGAAGACCTAAGCCCCAGTTTGTTTCAGTTTCCATGTAAATGACAAGTGAGTGAGGTGTCTATGATCCCACTCTTCACTACCGTGCTTGGGAATACAGAACTCTAATAAGTTAGTTGGATTAAATATTCTTTGTCTGAACTCACACAATCATTTATTCTGAAACTTGCTGACCCAGTATTGATGCTGTCAATATTATTATAACTGTTAGTAAACTGAGTTAAATCCTGTCTCCCCCAAATTCATGACAACCCAGAACCTGTCCATGTGACCTAATTTGGAAGTTAAATTTTTGCAGATTTAATCTAATTAAAACATGCCTAGAGTAAGCTCTAAATTCTATAGGAACAATGTCTTCATATTAAGACTGAAACCTTGACAAATTACAGACACAGAAGGGAGGCCACATAAGATGAAGTTAGAGCAGAATTACATGGTCAGGGGTAAAGAATTCCTGAGACTATGAAAGCCTAAGTTGGGGAGGAAGTACCCTCTCCTAAAAGTATCAAAAGGTCACCCTGCTAACACTGTGGTGTTAGACCTACAATGCCCAGATCTGTAATACAATAAATTTCTATTGTTTTAAGTTACCAAATTTGGGGTGAATGGTTATGTCAATGCTGAGTATCGAAAACAGTTTAGAATATTTAAATAAAAGCATGTTTTAATCTGGTTTGTGTTACCAACACCTGCAATACGGGTTTCAAATATATTGCTTTTTCAAAAAGTACTGCCACCATGTCTAGGTGCTTTGTATTATCAATGTGCATGTTCACCCATTTAGGTGGGCTTTGCTACACATGAGCCCATACTGCTGATGAAGAAAGCAAATAGCTTGCACAAAATCACGAAGTTAAAGACAGAAGAGCCAGAGTTCAAATTTAGTTTTATCTCACCACCAAGATTACACTGTATCCCAGAGCACCTGTCTCTCATACCTGTTCATTGCAGCAAACACTGAGGATATAGGAGAGGCATTGATACCCTGGGTTTTCAATGCCTCCAATCGAAACTCATATTCATTAATTAAATGATAACCTGCAATGACTGAGGACAATCAATCTGTTGCTCACAGAGGAACACAGTTTATCAATGAACTTGTCATCAACTTGTATTGCTTTCATTAGAAGTTCTGCTTTGCCTATGTGTATTCAAAGTCTGGGCATTATCAGATTGGACATTCACAGCTTTAATTTACTGAAATGTATTTCCCTATTGCAGTCCCTGTTTCATTATCATGATACTGACTCATTCTTGGCACATAAGGAGATCATAAGAATAGACAGTGTGAGTGCAGACGAAAGTATCAAAACTTCATACTCACAGACAGATGCACAGCCTAAAAAGATAAAACAGGAAATAAAAGCATGTTCTAAATTTACCTTTCATCCCTCCTAGTGGGCCATGCTGTTGATCATAACAGACACGAATGATCAGGTGTCACAGCTGTTGTTGTAGAATGTCAACTTCAAGAAGACTGGTATAGGAAGGGCTTCTGCAAGGAGTACCATGTCCATCTGGCCTCAAGTTATAGAAGTTGCCACAAAATCCCACAAGAGTATATGACTGATACTTTGCGAAGTACCCAAGACTCTGTGGCCAGGTTACCACATTTTCCCAGAAGTATATTCTGTTTTCCAAGCTGTTATCAACTATTGACCATGACACTTTCTTCTGACTTCTCTTTATCTTTATTTTAAAGACCTCCTCGGATAGCCTTGTACAAAGCTAGGGTTCCCTTAACTGAGATGTGAACACTGGCAAATTAACTTCTACTCTATCCCAACAGAAAGCTCCAGATGACACACGGTTTCAAAAAGGATGCTCACACTTGTGCTCCAAATTGGACACCCACAGTCCCGAGACACTTCAAGTTTATTCCCTAGGACACTGGTATTGCCCACAATTTTAACCAGTTTGGAAGTGTGATCCTCTTCTACATTCTGCCCACCGTGCCCACCTGCAGAAGTTCTTTCCAATCCATTGCTATCCACCAAACGAACAGAGACAAAAAAAAAACAACAACAAAAACAAAACAAAACAAAACAACAACAACAACAAAAAAGAACAGGAAAACACAGTCCCATAAAGGTTCTGCTATTGCATCTTGAAGTCCACACCTGCTAAAAGACAAAAAAAAAAAAAATGGGAACCCTGCCCTGGCAATGCATCCAGCACTCTCTGGGAGCAGCAGGCACTGTCTTATCATCGGCAGGGCGTGCGCGAGTACATACACAAAGAACTGGTGCTGGGCTTGCTAGCCTTTCGGGGTACCAGCAGACTCCTAGAGCTGGCATCCAGGGTGATCTCCTATGCCCTCCATCCCAGCATAAAAGCACTATCCTTTATTTGACCGGTGAAGAGCCCAGGCTGGATGATATTGCAAGGGTTGGGGGTTGGGGAGTGGGCGGACCCCGGATCCCTTGCCCATCTTCGGAGGTCCCTAGCCTTTGGCATCTCCTAGGAGATGCACAATCAATTGTGCTGTCAAAAGGTCTCTTTTCGCATCCTCTCTAAGCCAGATGCCCGGTGTACCGGTTGTGCGCATCTTGGCAAGTGCCCCTCCTGGAGCGGCTACCCATGCAAGCCGACCTGCCCCGTGCGCCTGCCTACCTGATGTCTGGCTGTCAGCAGCGAAGCCGTGGTGCCTCATCTGCTTCTCCTCTGCTGCTACATCTGCTATATCGCTCCGAGCGCCATGTTCCTGCTCTCCCAGGGCGCACGCTGGGGAACTACTACGGCTGGGTAGGGGCAAGGGGGGGCGGGGGCTAGCGGAGGGGTGGGGGCAGAGCCTAAGCTTTCTACTCTCCTCCCAAACCTCTCCCAGCAACTGAGCATGCCCAAGCCGCCTGGTTTCGCCCTTAGGAGGACTGTCCGCTGAGACTGTTCAGCTGCTCCGGGTTTTCGGGCCAGCCGGCTATAGGAAAGCTGTAGCAATTGAGGGGGGTGAAAAGGGGGAGTGTGGAGGGAGTGTCTGCACGTTGAGCTGGAGAAAGCAGCCAATCGGATCACACTTTCCTTCTACCACCCCCCTGCGGGCTGTTCCTGCATGCCTGTCCATCCGTCCCCCCCCTCCCGGGTGCATCCCAGTTTCTCCAAATTTTGTGTAGCACCTTTGCGGAGGAGGCTTGCTACATCAGGACGCTCGCTAGGAGCCTCTTCGCCATCACCTGGTCCTGTGCTTCGCAAACTTTAATGAGACTATGAATTAAAACGCAGATTTGGATTTAACAGGACCTGAGATTCGGCAAGCGAAATAACTTCCCAGGAGATATTCGGTGCCCTTCAACTGGCCCTCTGAAAGATCAGGTGGTGCGAGAATCCAGAAACATCTGCTGTCACCTCTGCTTGATCATGTCCTTTAGTCAGCAATGGTCTCTTGAGCTTTGGATGGCAGTAGCAATTCAAGTGAGGATGTCCCTGGGGATGCTGTGCCTTTCCTGGAAGGAAGCTCCATAGGGCAGACACTGAAGAAGCATCATAAGGGATTTCTTAGACTAGGAATTTGGCACGTAGGAGAAGATGGGCTCTTGGCCCAATCCACAATCGCTTTGATACTGTGGACTCGAAACTCCGGGTCAGTTGCCCTGTTGTTCCACTCACTCCTGAGCCAGTCTTCCTTGACTGTTTGCCTGTCTTCCTGACAGACAAAACCTGGGTGGCTCAATGCAATTTCAAGGCTGGACTTGACAGTTAAGGAGACTGGCTGGTAATGAGCACGCACAGGGCCGTTTGGAAGCAAGAGACCACATGTTTTTTGTTGAAAGGTGTTTGTGGTGAAGTTTGGAAGGATACATTGTGGTCCAACTGCAACCCCACCCTTATTCCCTGTCTAATGCCCCCTAACCCCCGAGCCTTCAAAGGTACCCATATTATTGGAAATAGTCACTCTCCACACGAGTCGGGAAGAGATTCACAAATCCAACCAAGAGATTTTATTCTTGGAATTGAGTCAACTTTTTCCACCCTCAGCTATCCCTAGGTTGTGGTATCTGATCCTATAAATGAATAGTAGACTATAAAACAGGGACATTTATCTCTTAGTACAGCATTTTACTCATTAACTTCGGACAGTTTCCTAGTGAACAGTAGATACTTATCATTCTTGGTGACTTGTCTGTTCACATAGGAATCTTAGTGCAGTAACTTCCATGTCAAAACAGGATCATGGCAGGGGCTGGTGCTGAGGAGATGGCACAACAATTAAGAACACATTGCTCTTCCTGAGGTCCCAGGTTCATTTATCAGCACACAAATAGGGTGGGTCCCAGGTGACCCAAGCTCCAGAGGATCCCGTACCCTCTTCTGGCATCATTGGTGCGTTCATTCACACGATGCACATACAAACATACAGGCACATATACACACACAAATAAAAAAAATCCTTACAAAACAAAATCATGGAACAGATGGATCATCACTGTTCTCCATTGATATTCCTAAGTATGGAGAAGATACATATCTTAGTCTATCAAATTATATTTTCCCATTCATATTATGAAAGTCATTACATTCATCAACGCTTGGAGTTGGTCAAATGGCCCCAATCCTCCACTCACCAACCATATTGCTGCCCATGGGGTCACTAGCATAATATTTTCTATTTACTTTCTTGTATGTGGACTTGTGTTGATGCAAAATCCAGGAAACATTTCATTCAGATGTAGTTTGCTTGTGCTTTGATATCAATAAAAAGTGCATGCACTGCTAAATCAAACTATATAATCTGTACAATAATATAATTTTGTATTAGCATAACAATGCCATCCTGAATAGCCCTGGAACTACTTCTAAAAATAAGTGCCACCATTAGTGTAACTATGAACTTTGCTGTTGGCTGTGTGGCTTGTTTTTGTGATAGGGAAACAAATTCTTTTAAATAAAAATAAATGAAAAATAAAAACAAGTAACCCAAAGCTGTTCCAAAGAAAACCACCAAACTTAGACATTTTCACTAGAGAAATGCACCAAGTACTGGAAAACGAATTAGTTTGACACAATTTTTCCCAGAAAGCAAAACAAGACCACATGTTTCAAATCATTTTTATGAGGCTATAATTGTCCTGATACCAAAAACCAAATAAACACTGTCACAGAGAAGTCCTATAAAAATGTAGCTTATAAACCTACATGCAAAAGTTCCTGAAAGGTAAGGGAGAGGACTGAGTGTGGGAGTACAGGCCTTTGATCCCAGCTACTGAGGAGGCTGAAGCAGGAGAATCATGAATTCAAGACCCATATGAGCTGCTGAAGGTCTACCTGGATACTGTCCCCCAAAAGTGAAGAAGGGCTGAGAAAGGTCTTGCCTAGCAATACACTGCCACAGATTCCATACCCAGAACTAAGAAAAATATTAGCCTGAATCTTACAATGCATAAAGAGAAAGAGAATTGAACATTATTTGTACATGGGTGTATATCAGGAATTCAGAGCTGCATATATATATTCAATGGAATCCATCATTCTAACAAACTCAAAATTTCATCAATTTATACAGAAACATACATTTTACAATAAATAATACATACCAATGAATAAAAATTTGAGGACATTAGAAATACAGGGGAGATAAAATGCATCTACTAAAAATCACTAGCAAGCTTCCAATTTAACGATAGTAGTAAAAATATTTTCCTCCAATGATGTATCTCTAGATATAAACCATGAGCATTTAGAAAATTAAAGTCAAAACACAATACCAAAAGAAATAAAATATTATGGCACAGATTTAATATAATTATATAGGACCTTTATCCTCAAATTGCAACATACAAATGAAATCAAAGACCCAATAAATATTCATGCATTAGAAGGCTCAACATACCCAAAACACACATTTTAACAGTAAATGGAGTTACATTTTCAGTGACATTTCTTTATGTATTCACGTTCATTTTTGATGACACAGGCAAGTTTATTTTCAAATGTATTTTGAAATGTATAAGTTCTAGAATATCTAAACAGTATTTGCAATTTCCAGTTGTCTTAGTTATCTTGAAATAATGCTGGAAATTTAGCTATCAGAATAGAGAACTCAGAAATAGGTTTGTAAACACATGAGCAACTTACTAATAACAGCTGAAAGAAACCATTCAGTGAGAAAGAACAGCATTTCTCCAATTGGTGCTGCACCAATTGGGTGTCCATGGAGAAAGAAAGGCTTGAGCTTCCTAAAACACGGATCATGTTCAGCTGAAATACTGAACATTTTCAGGACAAAACAGAAAGATAACAACAAGTCCAAAAATGTCAATTTTACTGCTTTAACACCATATAATATAGAAATTCTTGTTGGATAATCAATTAGGATTAGTTATCCAAAATTGAAAGAAAGAAGTCAACTTGTCTTTATTTTCAGAAAATGTGATCTTATATACAGAAAATTCAGAAGTATGTGTGTTCAGACACAAACATTAAAAATTAATAAAATTTCTAAAAGGTACAGGATATAAAATCAAATCACATAAGACAGTTGTACTTCTATATACTGACTGTGAACAACCTAAAAGAAAAAATTAAAAAACAATTACTTTATAGTAGTTTCAAGAAGAATAAGATACTTAGAAATTAACTTAAGACTCCAGTCATTAAGAATTATACATACATGGTCCCCCGGAAAAGAGGAAATGGACAAGATCTCCTGAGCAAGTAGGGAGCAGGGGTGGAGGAGAGGAGGGGAGAAGAGGAGTGGAGAGGATTGAGTTGTGAGAATAGAGGAGAGCAAGAAAAGAGATACCTTAATAGAGGGAGCCATTATAGGTTTAAAGACAAATCTGGCACATCCAGAGATCCACAAGTATGAACCCAATTAAGAATCTAAGCAATAGTAGAGAGGCTAACCTAAATGCCTTTCCCCCATATTGATATTGATGACTACCCTAAATGCCATCCTAGAGCCTGCATTCAGTAGCTGATAAGCACAAGCAGGGATCCACAGCTAAGCACTGAGCCAAACTCCTGGAGTCCAGTTGTAGAGAGAGAAGATGGATGAGTAAAGGGGTCAAGACCATGCTGAGAAAACCCATAGAAACAGCCTACCTTAGCAAGTGGAAGTTCGCAGATGCGAGTTGGACAGCTGGGGAACCAGCAGAAGACCGAACCAAACATCCTGAACTTGGATGTCCAGTTAGGAGGCCTGGGCAATCTATGGGACCTCTGGCAGTGGAACCAGTATTTATCCCTAGTGCATAAATGGACTTTGAGAGTCCATTCCCCATGGAGGGATACTCTCTCAGCCTAGATATATAGAGGGGGACTTAGGCCCTGTCCCAAATGATGTGACAGACTTTGATGATTTCCATGGAAGATCTCACCCTCCCGGGGGGAGTGGATGGGGCATGGGCTGGGGGATCGGTGGGTGGCATGGAAGGACTGGAGGGAGAGGGAACTGAGATTGAGATGTAAAATAGATCATTTCTAAATTATATGATGACAGCTGGATGGCAGTGATGCAAGACTAATCCCAGCACTCAGGAAATAGAGAGTAGAGGCAGGCAGTTTTCTGTGAGTTTGAGTCCAGCTTGGTCTGCAGAGTGAATTCAAAGATAGCCAAGGCTACACAGAGAAATCCTGTCTCAAAAAGAAAGACAATCTACCAGTTCTATGGAAATTGTAAGGAAAACAAACAAACAAAAAACATGTTTTTGGAGCAATAGTAAACTTATGCTAAATCTTATATAGACTCCAAGGGGATCCTGAATCGCAAAAGAAAAAAAATGTAGAAAAATAAGAACAAGGTCAGAAAAATTATGTTTCCTGACTCTAAGACTTATAAAATTCCAGTAATCAAAATGATTAAATGAAAACATAAAAAACCCATATATAGACAAATGGAATATAGTCCAGAAATAAACCCTTGTACATATGTCAAATGATGGTCAACAAAAGTATCAAGACCATTGATGGGGGAGAGCCGTCTTCTCAATAGATCATTCTGGGAAAACAAACCATCCACATGCAAAAGAATGAAGTAGGGACCTATAGTAAATGTGTAGAAATTAACTTAAAGACACAAATGAATGAGTAACAAATTGAAAACATGAAAAATCTTGATGAAATTTTATTTAGTAATATGATTTCTTGAATGTGACAACAAAAGAATTGCAACAAAAGAAAAAATGGCTAAACGTGATTACACTGGAATGAAAACTCTCAGGCAAAGAACACAAGCAATGGTGAAAAGGCAACTCACAAGGCAGGGAGAAACTACATGTGAATCATATATACATGAGGAGATTAATATTTAGACTATATAAAATTGGCAAAAGTCAGTAACATAAGAATAAGTCATTCAAAAATGTTCAGAAAGCTTGATTTTCTTCAAAGAAGATGTACAGATATCAATAAGCATTCAGAGCAACAGTCAAAGTAATGCAATTAAAATCCAATAACCTGTTTATTTAAAGAGAAAAGAAAGTAAGAATAGTTGGTAAGAATGTGAAGAAATTGAAAGGTCTATGCTACACCTATGGAAATACAAAACTGTATTATCTTAATGAAAAAGAGTTGGACATTTTCTTAAAAGTTAAACAGAATTATTCAAGGATCTAGCAATTCTATTTCGTAGGATATATTCAAGATTTTGAAAGTAGAGATATAAATATGTGCATTTTAATGTTCAGAGCAGCAGGAGCTAAAAAGTGAAGACTTACCTGGATGTCCATAAAGAGATGAATGAATACACAAATTGTGATATCTATGGACACAGGAGCATTATTCAGGCCTAAACAAGAATGAGATTCTGATGATAAATGTGACACCAATGATTAATCATCAAAGCATTCTACTAAACACAGTAAGAAAAATAAATATTGCATGAGTCTATTCATATGAGATACCTAGATACCTAGTCAAATTCATAAGACAAAATGTGGATTGAAGGTTGCCAGAGGCTGCGAGAGGAAAAAGTATTTATGTATTGTTTAATAGTACAGAACTTCAGTTTGTGATAGTTATAAAATCCTGAAGGCAGAGAATAATGACAGTTATAAAAATGCATGCATGGGCCTGGGACCAGCTGTGTGGCACAGTGCTTACTTACCATGAGTGAGCCCCAAGTAACAATCCCCATCAGTGTAACTAAATAAGTAAATTCCCAATAAGAAAAAAATAAACTAGTTCTCAGACACACTGAAGATTTATGGTTCTAAGTGATAAAAAGAATAAATCTGTGACTAAACAGGGAAATGTGAAAGACATGACAATATCTAAAACATAAATACTGCCTAGAAAAACTATATATAGCAAGAACAGAGGAACATAAATCAAACACCAACATGAGAGGTAAATAACACAAGAAAGAGCAATAACAAATATATAAAATTGCCCAGAGAGGAAAACCAGGTTTCTGGGGAAACCAAGGGGGATGATGTCTTTTACAAGGACAACTCAGCTTTCAAATACATTAAGAGAGCCAACATGAAAACATTTTGGTTCCAAAATATGAGATAGACATTGATAAATAAGAAATAACAGCTCAGAAATTAACTTAAATATGTAAAATAATTTCATTTCTAAGAATGATTATATTGTAAATGTATAAATCACTAAGGGTTAAAGACAGATGAAGTTCTGAGTTGTAAGTGCTCGTGGCCTGAAGCAACAAGAAATTACTTTATCCAATTTAGTGAGCTCTATGCTCTCGCTCAAAAGGAAACCCATGTACCTTCAAGGCCGTGAACTTCAGTAGGAGTCTGTAAAATCTGTATGAAATCCCCTTGAATGCTTTAGGTCAAACTTCACCCACGAGCATTTGAGAAAGTTAGAACATCCATTGCTTCTGTATAGCTTAGACTGCATATAAGCTAAGGAAGTCAGTAAAATGAGGCCTTTGACTTGCATAAAAGTTCCTAATAGGCAAGTATATATAAATGTTCCTATCCCACTGAAATCCCAGCACACGAATGAACACCAGACTTTTCTGTCAGAGGAAAATCATTGTCAGCATTACCTTGTAAGACTGTCCCCTAAGCATTCCCTGTCTATTGTTTCATTCTTTGTTCATAGTTTGAAGACAAAGTACAACTTCACCTGGATTTCTGGAGTGCCTTTGTCATTGTCACTGGATCGTGTGTAAATGATAAAAGATTGTGACTTGTCATGTAGTAAAACTGTCATTGTGGAGTACAGCATGGATTCTTTTGGAGAACTGGAGCAACTCTTCTATTGCCTTTTTAAATTTGGTGATTTAAAAAGAATTGGAGAACTGATCAGAATTTTGAAGAAGGTACCACATGCTCACACCAAATACCCGCTTCTTGGCCAGTAAGCCCCAACCTATGCTTATTTTGCCTTCCTTTTTTGGTTAAGGAAGCGGTTCTCAGCCTGTGGGTCATGACCTTTCACAGGGGTCACTTAAGACCATCGGAAAACACAGATATTTACATTATGATTCATAATAGTAGCAAAATTACAATTATGAAATAGCAATGGAAATAATTTTATGGTTGGAGGTTACCACAATGTGAGGAACTGTATTAAAGGGTACAGCAGTAGGAAAGCTGGGAACTGTTATGTTAAGGCATATTCTTGCATTTGCCATATAAATTTTGAGGAAGAATTTAATATACTTCCCATTTTTCTAGAAAACACCAATCAGTCCTATGAAGATTCAGGAAGAGCTTATTCAGAGCAAACAGATGAAAGTGCAGCAGTTTCTTTTCTGATATTGTGACTTAAAGCAAAAGCTACTGCCTGGATCAAAAGCTGACACCACCTGACCATCTAGGCATGTTGTAATACAGTGGAAACTCTGTTACCACCATGACAGGAAGAATTTTTTTGTTTTCATAAGAAAGGTCACTAACAGAACATGTGGAAAATTTCTACAGATACTGAGGATATTTATCTTTTTAAAAGAAAACCACGGTGGATTTCATGATAAATTTTAAGTGTAGGAGAGGAGAGGTTGAGAGTGTTAGAATAGGATGGGCAAGATTAAGGCGAGTTATACTGAACAGCTTGTGACCTTGGACATGCCATCTATGTGTCCTAAATTCCTTTGTTTATCTGGCAAATACAGATGTGAGCTCATCTTTTTTTTTTCACAGAATTTTCATGAGAATCGAAGAAGGTACTTTGAGATGGGAAAAACCAATATGCTGTAAGCCAGTATCAAAGCACTGGACTATTGTCTCTTCTTAATAAATTTGAATAAATGCAAAAAAAAGTAGTTATAAAATTTCTGTGTGTCAAACTTTTATTTGAGAAGTTTATTTAAAATTAAAATGTTTGCCTGTGTTTTGTGTATACCAATTCACAGAGAAACTTGAGTCAAGGCCCCTGGGTAACTTTGAAATAAGTAAATTTGATGTGGCAGATACCTAATGTGTTATGCAGCAAGAAAGACTTGTTTCTTAGTCCCTCGGAGTGGGGTGTGTATTGAGCATCTTCAAGTATTGCCTCAGCCCCAGGGAACTGACCTGTTCCAGGTCCTAGCCTTTCCCAGAGCAGATTGGATAAAATAACCGATAGTTGTGGCAATATCAAAGCTTGGCTATCTTGGCCCATATTTGATGCAACTCTGAAGGTCAATTGTAGCTTCAGAACTTCCTGGGAAGCTGGCCAGAGCTGATGCCACTCTACATCTTTTTGACCTTCTCTTTGTGTCTGGTTCTACTTCCTTTCTCTCCATCTATGATGTTGTGTCTATCTATGACACTGTCTATGTTTGTTCCTGTGTGTGTGTGTGTGTGTGTGTGTGTGTGTGTGTGTGTGTGTGTGTGTTCAGGTGTATGCAGGTTAATGTATGTATGCATGTTGGTGTCAATTCATATAAGTGCGCAACTTGAAACAACCTCAGGTGTTGTTATCTGGAACACTGTCACCCTTGAGACAGGGTCTTTCATTGGTTTGGAACTTGCCACATGCGCTATGCTTGTTCTGAGTGAACACCTGTTTGGCACTGAGATTACAGGTATGCTAACACACCAGGATTTTTCTGTGGCAACTAGGGATCAAAACCAAGCATTCACTTTACTAACTGAGTCACACCTATCCCCAGGGCACCTTTCAGTGCCCATTCTAAGCACCAAAGTTCTCTCTCCAAGTCTGCTTCTGGGCAAGCTGGCTTGGTAAGGGAAATGTGAACTGGAAATCTTCGTCATCCCCAAATATTCTTACAATTCCAGTGAACACAATTTCTTCCTTGGAAGCTCAAGCCCTTCCCTATTTAACTATCCTGCTGTCTCATTTCCCAATCAGTGCTTCTTAATCCCCAGTTGAAAGATTTTTGTCTTTAATCACTGTCCAACACAGGACCATTAGCAGGTAGATAGAGTCATGTTAGGTAAACTCCATTAGGATAGCATCAAGCAGGGTAAAGGGAAATCATGTTCCTCTCTGCATGTATGGTATGGTAAAAGCCCCAGAACTGAAATAGTATACAATGCTAATAAAATGTTATTAGAACCACCCTACACTTACTTGAGAGCAGTGGTTCTCAACCTGTGGATCATGATCCTTTTGGGGGTTTGCTGGGAGGCCCTGGTGGTTGAAGGTTGCAGCCTACCATGACCTGGCAAGTCTCTCCAAGTTTGGCAACATGGAGGACCTCCTTTCCACAACAGAAGGTTCCCTATTATCTATCTGATCTTATTTGGAGACTGTCTTTAGGTCCAGAAGCCTAGTCTAACTCTAGTAAGGCCATTGGTAGAGTTCCTTGCGAAGCTTTCCCCTTATCATCCATATGATAATTAGACAATGTGGTAGATGCTTTAGGACTATGCTTCCACAGATGATAACTAAGACTTGCACTAGGAGCTTTATGATAAGAGTGTGCTATTTAATGCCAACCAGGTGATTCCTTAGATACCATCCCCAATCCTTCATATCCCCTATACTCTTGAATAAAATTAAGCTGTCTCACTGAAGCAGTATCCTGGAAGGCTATACAAAGCTCTCTGTTAACACTTCTGCACCTTTGACATCATGGACTGGTGACCTATGGATATCGAGGAAAATGGGGTTCTTTCACAGGGGTCACATATCAGATATCTTCCATATCAGATGTTTACATTAGGATTCATAACAGGTGTCCCTAACAGTAGCAAAATTAAAGTTGGAAGTAGCAATGAAAGTAATTTTATGGCAGGGGTCACCACAACAAGAGGAACTGTGTTACAAAGGTGAAGCATTTAGAAGGTAGTGAAATACTGTTTTCAGTCAAACTGCTTATCTATTTTCATAATAGAAGCAGTATAAGCTATGTAACTTTGTTGCTATCACCAAATACCAGATGAGAAACAACTTAAGGAAGTAAAGGTTTGCTTTGGTTCACAGTATGAAGAGGTACTACAGTTCATCATGAAAGGTAATGACATCACCTAACGGCTTCCACAGGGAGGAAGCAGAAAGAGATGAAACAAATGCTAGTAGTCATTATCCATTTTCCCTTTTATTCAGCACAGGGCCCAGTCTACGGCATGTTACCACTCATTTTCAGGTGTTCCTTCCCTCCTCGTTTAAACCTCTCTGCCCTTAAAGACAAATGTATTATCTAGACACATTCATTTTGAGAATAACAATCATCACAAGTTTGTCTCTTCACACTTGACATCCAAACATATCCCTTTTAGTTTTAGATTCTATTTTGACTTTAGTTATGCGTATTTATGTTTGTGTGTTCTAACTTGCTGTGCACATGAGTGCATGCCTACAGAGGCCAAAAGTTGGAGCTGAATCTGGGTCATCTGAAAAGCAAAAAGCACTCCTAACTGATAAACAGTCTACTAACACATCACTTTTTAGACACACCATTATATCCCTGGACCTCAAAAAACTAATGGTCATTTTCAGAATGTAAAATGCATTTAGCTAAACTCCAAAAATTCCTATAATGTTTAACAGTCTTAATACTGTTAAAGAACCCAAAAATTCTGAGACTCAAGACAAACTTTTAACTGTGATCCTGTATGAAATCAAAACACAAGTTACATATTTCCCATGTATGATGGCATAGAATAAATATTCTTGTTCCAAAAGAAAAGAATAGAATATCAAGGAAAGATCAAACCAAAGCAGTACCAAAGGACAGCAAGAAAAAAACCAAATTCCAAAGCTCCATATCCAACATCTGGATTGTTTGATGACACTATTTTGGCTCTAAAAACTTTTGGCAGTCCTGCTCCTACCATTCTGCACCCTGAAGAACACTGTAACATCTTTCCTAGGCAAGCTGCATTTTATGACTGCCACTTTCTTCAAGAGGGTACCTTATAGCCGGGCGGTGGTGGCACACGCCTTTAATCCCAGCACTCGTGAGGCAGAGGCAGGGGGATCTCTGTGAGTTCGAGGCCGGGCTGGACCGACAGCCTCCAAAACAATACAGAGAAACCCTGTCTCGTAAAACCAAAAAAAAATAAAAGAGGTACCTCATGGTCTGATACTCAATACCTCCATTGTAACTAACACTTAATTTTCACAGCTTTGCATGTGGCTCAACTCTACAACACATTGACTAACTTGAGCTGCTTTCTATAACCTTGGTGCAAGACCCTATGAAGATATAATTTTCACAGTCTGTATGCCTGCAAAACTAGTTATGATTTGAGTCATACTGCCAGGTTCTTTTGCAAGTTTGAGATGTACTATGGTCGAATTCTACCATGGCAGAAGTGACCTCTGAACACTTTACTGGCTGAATGTGGGCAAACAACTTCTTATGCTTCTGTCTTTTATCAGGGAACCTCTTCACCTCCATTCACAGGACCCATTTTCTCCTTTCAAATAAACTTGCATTTTCACAAGTTGGAGATTTCCAAGGATAGCCTCTTGCTCTTGAGGCAACTTTCTTATTGTCCCCGTACACACCTCAATATTTCTACTTAAAAACATTAATCTTTTAAAAAAATAACTTCAACTGTTCTCTTCCCAACTACTTTGTCTGCAATTTTAAATTTACTTATGCTGTTTTCTTCACACAACTTTACATCTTTAATACCATTCTGCTTTTGGATTCTCATTATCAATATCTATAAACTCAGTGACCAGGTACCACAGAACAGACTGTATGTTATGCTGTCTTGAAATTTTCTGACAAACTGTTTAGTCTATTTTAATTTCAGCGTCATTACAAAATTGGGACATGGGCAGGATATAGCCAGATTCTTTGCCTGAATGTACTGTGAATGCCTCTACCCTAGTAGCCCTGCTGATTCCCCACTGAAATATCCCATTCCGCCTTCAGTTAGAGGGAAGAAGAGTTAAAAACTACTTGGTCATGTTTCCTTCAGCAAGGACTCTTTTGCCACCAATTTTCTGTATCAGTTACTTTCTCATCCCTATACTGGGATATCTGAAAAAAATCAAGTGCTAATAGAATCTACTTTTGAGAATTTTCTGGTTCAAAGCAATGTTGAGCATAAAATATATAGATTCTTCTAGATATCTGCTTCACTAAAATATGCATGGTCAACATCTAGAAATAGCTTTGGGGTCACAAAGAGAAAGACCACCATGCCAAACTAAATGTCTCAAGACAAAACTTTACCCTATCAAAAGGTTGTTCTGCTTATAAAGTGGAGGAAGCACCACACAGAGACTGTGTGTCCGTTTGGTTTTTATTCTAACACAGATAGTGACTGTGCCTTTCCCTCAGTGCTTGGGTTCCAACCTTGTAATCTTTCAAGATTGACTACTTTTAAAAGAATCTGGCACAGAGGAAATGAAGGACAGTGGGAAGAATTCAGTCACTACGTCACTTAAGTTTTGAAAATCCAGAAGGGCCTTTTTTAGAAAGGTTTGACTAAGAGGGGAGAATGAAAACATTTTATGAAAGTCTTACAAGGTGGGGGAGACAAGAAGTTTTTAATTTCTTGGAGTAACACAAGTTTTACAGCAGTTGACAGAAAAGACTAATATTTTACATTTCATATAAATATTACTGAAAATGGTACTATTTTAAATTGATAATACTATGTTGACCATTCATTGTTATCTAAAGTCCATATACCACTTTCAGTGCTGAACATTTTATGGATTTGAGACAATTACTGTGTAATGCTGTACCTTATGGTATCATAGAAACAGTTTCAAATGCTTATAAATCCCTTGAATTTAGAATTGAACATTAAAATATATGTGTGTAGTCTAAGTTAACACATCTTTCTTGACTCCATTTTATATCTTATTGATTATATGGCTTTAAGTAACAAT